TATATATAATAATATAAATATATATTATATATTTATAATATATACTTATAAATAATTTGGAAAACAAAAATGAAAATAAAATTTCTCATAATCTCATCTTCATAAAAATACACACTTAACATTGAAATATATTTGCTTCAAGTCTTTAAAACAAAAGTTAAAACCTGTATTTTCTCTTATATTATAAAACTAACACTTGGTTGTCACATCCAAGAATTATAGGAATATATATTTTAGAAAGTGAAAGTTCTCCCTATTTCTGATCCCCAGATATAACCACTGTTAATATTTTGGTGTATTTTTACCCATATTCTTTTCTATATACAGCCTAAATTACAAGATCTCACTCTGACTACTGTTTTGCAAATTTGCCCTTTTTTCTGATGATGTATCTTTGATCATACATATAAATAGCCAACAAACATATGAAAAAATGCTGAACACCACTAATCATCAGGGAAATGCCAATTAAAATCAAAATGAGATACTATCTTCCTCCAATTAGATTGGCCATCATTAAAAAATAAAGAAACAATAGATGCTGGCAAGGATGTGGCTAAAAATGAAGACTTATAAACTGTTGGTAGGAATGTAAATTAGTAAATATACCTCATTCTTTTAAAAGTCAGTATAGTATTCCATTGCATGGGTGTATCTTAATTTATTTAACTAATGCATTGGTGGATATTTAAATAATTTAAAAATTTTGAATATTATAAATAGTGATGCTAAGAGCATGTTATTATATGTTTGCAGCAAACAATCTTGAGAGCTGAGGCATCTCTCTCTCCAGGAAAAAGAGCAGACTTGCTTACTGCTTATTATAAAAGTGGTGGATTTCCCAAGCTCAGTGTTCTCAGCAGTGATACAAAATCAATGTGTCCACAGAATTCATCTGAGCTCCTCTATATTGCTCTTGGAAAGTACGGGAAATCAACATGACATGATACATTGCTTGTGGTATAGTGAGTAATAAAGTTCTTTGTCTTTGACGCAGTAGTTTCACATCTTCTGCCAGCATCCATGAAACAGTAATAGGCTAATTATCAGCTTGTAAGTAGGGTAAAATTTCAGACCCTGACAAGAATAACATATCATAACTATGTGAAATAAACATTAAATATAGTTTTGTAAAATGTGTTTATAATAGCTACACAGTTCTTCAGGTATATGTATCGTAATTTGTGTAACTTGTCTTTTCCTATTCTTATACATACATTGTTTCCAAATTTTGCTAGTCTCTGATACATTGAATTTGTACCTAAGGCTTTGTCTACATTTCTGGATAGCTGCCTAGGATACATTCTAAAATTAGAATTGGTAGGTCAATTGGTATAAATATTTTTAAAAGTCTTAGTACATTTCAAAAGAATATATACAACAATCATGAAAAAAAATGCTAAACATCACTAATCATCAGGGAAATGCAAATTAAAACCACAATGAGATACAGTCTTCCTCCAATTAGAATAGCCATTATTAAAAAAAAAAAAAGCAATGATGTTGGTAAGGATGTGCTGAAAAGGGAAGACTTATAAACTGTTGGTGGGAATGTAAATTAGTACAACCTCTATGGAGATCAGTATAGAGATTTCTCAAAGAACTAAAAGTAGATTTACCATTTGATCCTGCAATCCCACTACTGGGTATTTACCCAGAGAAAAAGAAATCATTCTATCAAAATGTTTGTTATTATAAATATTGTATCATATGTTTATGGTGGAATAATTCACAATGGCAAAGATACGGAATCAACCTAGGTGCTCATGAATTGATTAGTGGATAAAGAAAATGTGAAGTACTACTTAGCAATAAGAAAGAATGAAATAATGTCTTTTGCAGCAACTTGGATGAAGCTGGAAGCTTTCTACTCCTAAGTGAAGTAACTAAGGAACAGAAAAATAAATGCTACATGTTCTTACTTGCAAGTGGGAGCTAAACTATGGCTACAGAAAGGCACACAGAGTGATATAATGGACATTGGAGACTCACAAGGAAGGATGAAAAACTATCTATGGGGTACAATGTACACTACTCAGGTGATAGGTACACCAAAAGCCCAGACTCTGCAAATATACAATATATACACCAGGTGTGGTGGCTCACGCCTGCAATCCTAACACTCTGGGAGGCTGAGGTGGGTGGATTGTTCGAGCTCAGGAATTCGAGAACAGCCTCAGCAAGTGCGAGACCCCGTCTCTACCAAAAAATAGAAAGAAATTGGTAGGACATCTAAAAATATATAGAAAAAATTAGTCGGGCATGGTGGCGCATGCCTGTAGGCCCAGCTACTTGGGAGGCTGAGGCAGAAGGATTGCTTGAGCCCAGGAGTTTGAGGTTGCTGTGAGCTAGGCTGATGCCCGGGCAACAGAGGTAGACTCTGTCTCAAAAAAAAAAAGAAAGAGGATTCAATGATGACTTTAGTTTTTTAGTCTGATCAACTGGACGAACAGAAATGAAGCGAAATAGAGAATACCGTTGAAGACGTAGGTTTTGGGGAACATTTATGTTCAGCTTTGGACATGTTGATTTTGAGATACATAATAAACACTTAAGAGAAAATACTGAATAGGTAATTTGACACAAGTTAAAGTACTTTACATATTTTTATTACAGATTAAAAATACATTTAGCCATATTGTCTAATGCTTTTCCCTTATAACATTGAAGTATCTCTATATATCTACATGTATACATTTACAAGACTTGAAAGAAATGTTTCCCATGACTCCTTAAAACATTTTTAAATAGTTTTATTGAGATAATTCACATATAATACAACTCATCGTTTAAAGTGACCAATAATTTCCAGTATATTCCGATATGTATAGCCATCACCACGGAACATTTTCATCACATCAAGGAGAACCCCATATCCTTTAGATATTATCCCTCTATCTCACTCTTCCATGCTCCCCAGCCCTAAGCAACCATGAATCTACTGCCTCTATAAATAATTTGACTATTCTAGACATTTCATATAAATGGAATCATATAATAAGTGATCTATTGTGACTGGCTTCTTTCACTTAGCACAATGTTTTTAAAGTTTATTCATGTTGCAGCATGGATAATATTTCATTCCTTTTTATTGCCAAATACTATTCCATTGTATGCATATACCATTTTGTTTATCCATTTACCTATTGTGCGATTTTCAGGTTGTTTCTACTTTTTGGTTATTGCAAATAGTGCTGCTATGAACATTTGTGTTCAGGGTATATAGCTAGGAGTGGAATTGCTGGGTCATATGGTAATTCTGTGTCTAATTTTTTGAGAAACTGCCAACTCGTCTTCTATAGTGGCTGTACCATTTTACATTCCTACCAGCAATCTATAAGGGTCCCAATTTCTCCATATCCTTACCAACAATTGTTACTTTGGTTTTTTAAATTGTTATTATAGTCATCCTAGTGGATGTGAAATGATATTTCATTGTGGTTTTACCCATTTTTCTACTTCCTCAAATCCCAGCTTCCCTCTCTTGTTTTGTAGAACTGAAACATCATTTTCTGCTACTACATCCTAGTACTGCCTAAAAATATAAGTCTGTGAATTGGTAATGTATATGCTTCATAATATAACTCTGGACCCCATAGGTATCTTTCAAATATTATGGTTATCTTTTTAAAAATGGCCACTCTAGGGCTGGGCACAGTGGCTAATGGCTATAATCCTAGCAGTTTGGGTGGCCAAAGTGGGAGTATTACTCGAGGCCAGGAGTTTGAGACCAGCCTAAAAAAGAGCAAGACTCCATCTCTACACAAAATAGACAAAATGAGCCGGGCATGGTGGCGCAAGCCTGTAGTCCAAGCTACTCAGGAGGCTGAGGGAGGAGGGTCACTTGAGCCCAGGAGTTTGAGGTGGCTGTGACTAGGTCACTGGAGATTCTTGCAAATCCTCATGATCTCTCCTGTCCCAGGATGTATGAAATAACAAGGGAAATGCTGAAACAGATAACCTCATGAGGGCTATATTTCTTCTCTTACTTGATTCTATAATTTTCTTTCAATATACAAAACCAATTTGATTGTGATTATTCTCCTATAATGGTGAGCAATGTGAAGATTAATGAACTGAATAACAACAGTGCAACTGAAAAGATCAGTGCTTTATTGAGTAAAACATGGGTGATCAGAATTCCACAGAAGTGGTTATGAACATCCAGAGGTTAGGTCTTACTGAAAATCTTTACCTTCCCTTCCCCGACTTGGCGTGGTAGTCTTCTTTTAAAAACAAACAAAAAAACTGTTTTGACAAGTACCAAAACTATGTGTTTGCATCTGAAGCAATAAAACAAAAAGACAGGGTAGGGATGCAGGTTGCCACAGAGGTTGAAAGCTATTTCCTGACAAAGGAGTAAATGCAAGTTGGGACACCTGGGGAAGCCTGGGGTAAATGTATATGCAAATAAGTGCTGGGAAAATGCTCCTGGGATTCACCTCCATTAAGTGCTTTGAGAATTCATTACAGGTTATGAAACTCAGTGTTCTAATCATTACATTTACGGGAAGCAGTGAAAAGCAGTACAGGACACACAGCTGTAGTTGAACAGGCTAGCGGTGTGGTGGCTGGAGAAAGAAAAGACATTTAGGTTTTGGAAAGTTGGGATCTTGGGAGCTCTTATTCCAGGAGAGTTAGGAAAAAACCCTTTCCCGACACTGTGGTACAGTAAAATAAGTATTGACTCTAGAAATGCTCCTAAATACTGGCTTCCTTGGTTCTAGAGGGAGTCTTATTAAAACGACTAGATTTGAATCAAAATTACCTTTTTTTTTTTTTTTTTTTTTTAGCATTGTCAAGTCCTCTCTAATCAAAGAGTAGGGGCATCAGGGTCAGGCACCACACGAACTCAGGAGAATTATTTGCCAACATCCACGAAGCAATCAGCCCATCAAGCAAGGTCCCCAAGAGCCTACTTTATCCTCAAGGAATTTGGCTAATCAATTCATCTATTCACAGGCCTGCAAAGGGAGGATGGGTGGTACTTATTGTCTTACTTTAGAGTTGGAAGACACTTTAGAGATAGATCATCCAGAGCAGAAAACCTTTATGTCACTCATGTGCTTTGAAGTTACTACCATATTCTAGCCAAGTTATTTCATTCACTGTTCCTTTGATCCTAAATGAACGAGGAAAGACTGTGTGTAAAATACATGCCTACAACATGGAGATTATTTAGAGACAGCTTAATAAAGTGTACTTGTGTCTTCTCTGCTAGGCTTAGGGCACCTAACTTACCAAGCCCTGGCCTGAGTTTATCTCTAAAGGGTGCTGAATTGCCACCTAGTTACCTACCTTGATGATACGAATGTCATTCTTCAAACATTGACAGAGGCTTACAAGGGGTAGAGGCTCAGCGCTAAGAAGGATTGCGGGGTACGATGGGCACAAAGTCTAATAAGATATGGCCTGCCCGTAATAAAAGGCTCACAACTTAGTGGTGCACACCTGTTACTAAAACTTTTCTCTCTCTCTTTTTGGAAAGCCATGGGGGGGGGGTAAATCTAATATTTAATCAAGCATTTATTATGTGAAAGACAGACTTCATCAGTCTTAGTAGTAAATCCTTCAATACTCAAATAATCCCACGAGGTGGGTACTATTCTATTCCTATTTTACAGATAAAGAAACGGAGGCACGGAGGTTAAGTGCTTCCTCAAGGTCGCACAACCACTCCATGGGGGTGGCAAATTTGAACGCAGGCAGGCTGGCCCCCGAGAGCCAGGAAAAAAAGGAGTGAAGCAAGAGAGGGCAGTGGAGGAGGGACAAGGGGGGACGCGGGCAGGGGGACAGGTGGGTGAGAACTGAAGGGCAGGCTTTACCTTCCTCAGAGAAAACAGTAGCAACACCATTCACACTGATTGACTCGCATATTTCCATCCCGTAAAGCTCCTGGCACCACTGCCAGTAATGGGGAGCTTAACAACGCCTATCTGTAAGGTTGCGCCTGGATCCCGAAAAGACTCTCCTACGTGCTCAAGAGAGCTCCGGGGCTCATTCACTCCCTACACGCTTGCGTCGGGCCCGCCGGGCCCGCTCCCAGGTGGACTACAGGCCCCAAGGTGCACCGCGCGCGACGCTGGGGCGGCCGGGCGGGGGTGTTCCAAAGGTGCCTTGAAAAAAAAGGTCACGTACAATTTTTTTTTTTTTTTGTCGCTTTCCTTTCCTTTCACACAAATCTCAGATCCTGGAAGATGCATTTTCTTTTTATTAACAGAGCTTGCTGTGAGGCGTGTAGAGGTGTTTCTGTCTTCAGGCACAGCAGAGGGCAGGCGCAACGGCGGGCTGGCGCGAGGTCCCCGGACCACGCGGGGGCGGGTCCAACGGCGACGGGCCTGGGTCGCACGCCGGAAGTACGCGAGAGGGCTGGGAGCGACGACTGTGGGTGCCGGCGTGCGCTTCCGGCCAGTGCGTCGACGTCAGCCAGGCCGCGCAGACCGCCTCCGCAGTCGGCGCGCTCCGCTCGGCACAGGGCCATCAGTCTCCGCTCCGCTTACCGCAGGCCTTGACGACATGAGCAGCAAAGAAGGTGGCGTCCTCAACTGCACCAGACGTTATTTATTCAGAGGGGGAGGTTCTCCTGCCTATTTACGCGATTTCCCACTTCTCATCCTTGAAGGATGCCGTCTTTCCTTGCAGGCTCGGCGGGGGGGCGGCGGCTCTGGTTCTTTCCCCGGCCAGGTTGGCCCTGTTTACGCGTCTCGTTTTCTGAAATCTTCGAGCTGTAATTTTATTCTAGCTCGGTAATTGATCTCCTTGTGCCAGATCAAGGAACCGGTTGGTGGAAGCCTGGGTGACTGGGGGAAAAGGCAGGGCTGCTTTTCTGTCAGTCTGCGGAGGAGGCCGCTAAGGCAAGGGCCCTTGTGGGTATTTAGTTTTGAAGGGAGGAAAGGAAGGGGTTTTTGCTTGTGTTCTGTTTGGGAAACTCTTGGTGATGGAAGGACCTTGTCCAACTTTTTTTCTTCTCTACATAAGGATCAGGAGGGTTCAGGAAAAGGAAGCATGACAATTTTCCACACAACCAAAGAAGAGAAGGGAAGGATGTTAATTCATCTTCACCCGTAATGCTGGCCTTCAAATGTAAGTTATCTGTAATGTAAGTTGGTGAAGGGGAGAGAATTAAAAGCTGTAACAAAAATTAATTAGCCGTGTTGTGCACAAGGAAACAGCCTCTAAGAATTTAGGATGTGCAGATGTAAAACTTAATTTTCCTGAAGGTTTTATGATGGTACTAGATCTGCCCTGAAAGTCTGTAATTCCAAAGGCCTTGACTTTTATGTCCCATTAAGGTAAACATTAAAGTTAGTAAACAAGTAAACAATTAACATTTTAACAAGTAACACTTAACAAGTAACATTTTAACATTAAACACAGGTAACATTAGTTCATTAAAATTAGTTAATATTGGACATGCCACATACTTAAACATTATTGTGTACCTGATAGTTTTTCATCTCTTGTATTCTCACATATATATATTTAGTGTGTATTAATTTTGTTTCCTCAACTAGACTTTTGAGGACAGGGACTGTTTCTTTTTGGCTGTAGCACTTTGCACAGAATGGAAACTCATATCTGTTAGTAAATCTTACACATGTATATACATATTCACAGTCCCCCTTTTCTCAGAACATAACTTGGTCAAGTTCTTCATTTCAAAACAAAACATCACACAAAATCCTTTTTCCTCTGTCTCCCTCTGTCCGCTGTCCTGTACCTTGCGAATCTGAGGTTCAGGAATCTGGTTGGTTCTGACTTGGAATCATCTGGAGGCTTGGCTGGGGCCAGAGGTTCCACAGCTATTGACAATTTAGGCCTCTGCCTGCAATGAGCTCTCTGATCCTCTCCACATGGACCTCTCCATGTGCTGCTTGAGTGTCCTCCAGAAAAAGAGCAAGGAGGAAACCTCAGTTTCCTTCTGTCCCAATCTCAGACTTACAAACTGTCACTTTAGTCACATTGTATTTGTTAGAAGCCAGGCAGTTTAAAAACTCTGCCTCATATTTACAGGAAAGGAAATTAGGTTCTACCTTTGGAAGGGAGGAGTCTCAAGTAATTTGTGGACATATTTTGAAACCACTGTGGTACCTACAGTGATCTTCAGAGATGTAAGACAACTAGCTGTAGTTGAGTAGAAAGCTTATTGATCCGGAAGTTAGAAGTTTTCCTGACTTGGTGCCCCCATTACCTATGTGAACTATTGTTTTCTTTAATACTTAACTCAAGTAGCTTCCTCCCTGTGAGGCCTTTCTGATTTTTCTCTCTAGCAGACTGTGTCACACATTACATTCATTTATTATTCACCTATCCAGTTACTAAATCGTTACTGGGCATCTACCATGTTCTAGCATGTGTTAGTAGTGAACAAGAAAAATGTGGTTCTTTTCTAAACGTTTTACATATATATTTTTGCATAACCTCATGATTATGTTTTATTTGTTTATATCTCTGTCCCTCATATTGGACTGAACACCTTGAGGCTAGGAACTGTATTTTATCTACCTGTGTGTTCATAGTATCCTACTCATAGTGGTCATTAATGTATTCATAAAAATAATACATATTATCTTAAAATATTAGGCAAAATTTTAGCTAATTATTATCTCAGTGATAAAAGACCAGATATATTATGATCCTTGTCAGCTACTAATTTAGTAAATAGTTTATTTGAAGTTCGTGTTTTTTTAATTTATGCATAATACATCTATTCCGTGCTCCCTATGGGCCAGGCAACTTGCTGGGCTTGTGGAGTGAAAGTTTTCTGAAATAAAGTAGTTATTTAGAGATTAAATGGTTTAAGGGTATTCCAATGGCTAGGGCTTGCAAAACTTGGAAAATGTGTACTTAAAATTTGTTGAGTACATAATTAAATGTTCTTACCACACACAAAAGATGGTAACTATGTGAGTTGATAGATATGTTAATTAGCTTGATTGTGGTATGCATTTCACAATTTATATGAGTATCAAAATGTCACTTTGGGCCGTGCGTGGTGGCTCATGCCTGTAATCCTAGCACTCTTGGAGGCCAAGGTGGGTGGATCGCTCAAGGTCAGGAGTTCGAAACCAGCCTGAGCAAGAGTGAGACCCCATCTCTACTAAAAATAGAAAGAAATTAATTGGCCAACTAAAAATACATAGAAAAAATTGGCCGGGCATGGTGGCACATGCTTGTAGTCCCAGCTACTCGGGAGGCTGAGGCAGGAGGATTGCTTGCGCCCAGGAGTTTGAGGTTGCTGTGAGCTAGGCTGACACCAAGGTACTCTAGCCCGGGCAAAGAGTGAGACTCTGTCTCAAAAACAAAACATTACTTTGTATATTTTTGTTTCTTTTTTTGAGACAGTCTGGCTTTGTCACCCCAGCTAGAGTGCAGTGGGGTCATCATAGCTCACTGCAGCCTCAAAATCCTGGGCTCAGGCGATCCTCCTGCCTGAGCCTCCTGCTCAGCTGGGACTATATGCACGTGCCACTATGCCTGCCTATTTTTTTAATTTTTTATAGCGACAGGGTCTCACTCTTCCTCAAGCTGGTCTTGAACTCTGATCTCAAGTGATCCTCCCATCTTGGCCTCCCAGAGTCTATCTTGTATCTGTAAAGCTGGGAGGGAAAATGACAGTAATACAAACATGTAGGATAGGGGGAAAAAGTTATAAATTTAAAAATAAGTCCAAATGCCTTTTTTGGATCTATTTGTATTGTGTGTGGTATGTAATTTAGGAAGGTAATTAGAAGTAGTTTTTATAAGTAGTTATGTGTCATCATTTTGGTAATGTCCTGTTGACTAAGATGATTTTTTACAATATGTACAATATGCCCATTGTGAGGCTCTGAGTGGTAAAACCCAATTAAAACATACCTGTATGTAAAGAAGGAATATTTTGGTTATTAGCAGAGCCTTTGATTTCTAAATATTTTAGAAATAAGATGATTTTGTCCCCTTGATAGAGTAAATAATAGGTGCTTTATTGTACATAATGACAATAGTTTTAGTTGCTGTTTTTGCCTTCTAGCCATTTGTAGTCTAAGAAAATTATTAATAAAATCATTTCTTCTCATTTTCCTCTTGTAAGATTTACCAAATGTCTTTGTAAAAGTTTAACATAAATAAAAGCTCACTGGTCTATCCAAGGATATTTTAGAAAGAAGAAAAGGACTAATGGGAGGTCTTTAATGAGAAATACTAACTTCTAGAGAAAATTTGATGACATGGTATATAGTTTGTTGAACGTAAATGCAGTATCTTTAATGTCCTAATAACTACTCTGTTATCAAAGGTATAGAGTTAATTTCATTAAAAAGAGTCAGCATATGAATATTATTGATTCACCTGAGTAAAGAAATACTTTATCTTTTTTAGTTTTATTTTGAAATAGTCTTAAACTTATTAAAATGATTGGAAGAATAGTACATTTGGAAAAATAGTACAAGAGAACTTCTGTATAGCCTTTATTTAGATTGACCAATTTTTTACATTCTGCCACTTTTGCTTTATAATTCTGTCTATAAATGTAAATTTATATATTATACATTTTTTCTGAACCATTTGAGAATTAAGTTGCATTCATCATGCCTCTTTACCCCTTAATACTTCAGAATATATTTCCTAGGGGTAAGAGTAATATATATATATATATATGTATATGTGTGTGTGTGTGTGTGTGTGTGTGTATATATATATATATATTTTTTTTTTTTTCCTGTTTCCCTGCTCAGAGTAAGAATTTAAAAAAATTTTTGGTAGAAATGGGTCCAGGGTCTTGCTTTGTTGCTCAGGCTGGTCTCAAACTCCTGGCCTCAAGAGATCTTCTGGCTTGGCCTCCCAAAGTGCTGGGATTACAGTTGTGAGCCACCACACCCCACATATTGTCTTGTATAACTATAGTACTGTTACTTACATTAGGAAATTTAACATTGATACAATACTTTAATCTACAGTACATATTTCAAAAGTTGTCCCCAAAATGTCTTTCTAGCATTTTTTTCCTTTTTACCTCTTTAGTAATCTAGTACAGGATATATATCGTATTGAGTTGTCATGTCTCTTTAGTTTTTTGTAA